AAGAATGTTAGGTTGGCAGTTGTTTTCTTTCAGCATGTATCTTGTTGTCTTTTCCTCTTTCAATTGAGAAGTCACTTGCTGGTCTTACTGTTGTTCCTTTGAAGGTAATCTGTCCTTTCCCCTGGATGCTTTTATGATTTTCTCATTGTCTTTGATTTTTTGTAGTTTTACATGATGTTTCTAGATGTGGATTTCTTTTTATTTCTCCTACTTAGAATTCATGGGTCTTCTTGAATCTGTAGGTTAATGTCTGTAGTTAGTTCTAGAAAGTTTTCAGTTATTTTTTCTTTGTTACCTCTGCCATATTCTCCTCTCCTCTCTTTTGGGTACTCTAGTTAAACATATTTTAGATTTTCTCACTGATTCCCTCTCTGTCTCTTATCATTTTTGTATATTTTCTATCCTTTTTGTGTTTCCATGTGTGGTTTCAGATATTTTATTATCTCTTTTGTTATGTCTGTTTGTTGTTAAAGCCATCCATTGAATTATCATTTTCAGTTATTTTATAGATCTAGAATTTCTATTTGATTTTTAAATTTGTTATTTTTAGTGCTAGCATACACATGCAGGTTGTGCAAGTTTGTTACACAGGTAAATGTGCGCCTAGGTGATCAACACATCACCTAAGCATTAAACCCAGCATGCATTAGCTATTTTTCATAATGCTCTCCCTTCCCCCTCCCCACTCCTCCTTGATTCTTTTCCAAATAGGTTTTGGGGAATGCTGTCTGTACTTGGGGCCTGGAGAGTTCTGTCCTCCATTGAGAAACCAAGTGCATTGCTTGACTTGCCTATTAGGGGGAGGGTGATGTTGAGAACAAGGTTAAATACCCACCTGCCAGGACATCAGTCAGACCCAAGGAGAAAAAATCCACTAAAGATGTTAGAAGCACAGAGGAATCAGTCTCTACTCTGGTACTTAATATTGGTGACCTGGTATTTAAAATGCTCCCACAGAGGAAGGCAAGAGTTGGAGATTGTCAGCTCATTCCTGAAGGCTCTCCCATCTCTGGAATTGTTTTTAAAGCTGTTTAGTGATTTTAAAATTCTTATTTTTGATGGTAAATTTTCTGTTTTTTCTTCTCTATTTATTTCAGCAGGACTTTTAGCCTGTGCCGACTTCTATATTCTACACAAACATGGAAGTCTGTTACACTCTCTCAACGTTTTGTTTTCATTCCCCACCCTGAGTTTTGTTGGAATAAACAGTGCTACTTTGTTTCTGCTTCCCCTAGTGATTTTGAAGTTTTATGTATTATTTCTGGTTTTATGGTTCCTTTATCATTTTAACAAACATTTTTATTTAAACAACAGTAATTACACAACCCCCCACCCCCGCAACAAGACAAAGGCTTCATCTTGCTTTGTTCATCTCCCCTCTGGCTCCTCCGCTGGTATTCTTCCTTCAGGCTGGTCTCCTCCAATCCATTTTCAACCCAGCAGCCAGAGTGGTTTTTTTAAAGTGATCAGCACTCCTCCACTGGAACCACTCAGTGCCATTCCCCTTACGACAAAGCCCAGGCCCTCAACATGGCACATGAGGCACCATCTGGGCCCTACCACCCTTTCCGATCTCAGCCCAGAAGTCCCATCGACCTAAAGAAAAGAAAGATTGATTAACCACAAAAACCTCTGGCTCAAGTCAGCACATTCATAACTCCCTGACCTGCCAGGCTGTTGCCTGCCTTTGCTCCCTCTGTCTGTCACTGGCCATTCTAGTGCAGGCAAAAGGGCAGTTATCACAGGGACACAGAACTCTCCAGCCCCCTACTGGCCCTTTCCTCCATCAGCAAGCCCCTTGAGGGCAGGGACTATGTCTTACTAATCTTGGTGTTCCCAGCACTTAGCTGGAGCATAGTAGATCATGAATAAGTGGTTGTTGAATGAATGAATGGAGGAAGAAAAGAGAAGGCTTATTTCCCTCCATAGGGCTAGGCTTCCTGGGGCAGAAATGGTGGCAGCCCTGGTGAAATTTCTCTGGGAGGATACACCCAGAGGATGCCTCGCGTGGCTATTTGATGAAGTAAGAAAAGGAGTTGAGAGTATGTGGTGAGGTGAGGCAGAGACAGTTTGATTACAAAAGCCAGAGTCGTTCTCAAAGGAAAGGTGGGAGAGGGGCTCCATATGTTAGAGAGCACTGGTATGTCATGGAAGCCAAGCCAGGAAGGGAGCCAGGCTGCTCGGAGGACTGACTGGGAGGCTGGAGCCAGGCTGCCTCTTTGGGGCTATGTGGCACTCACCATCACTTCTCTTCGTGAACCTGCTCCATTTCTCTTTCTTTGCACACGGGCTTTCTGTGCTTTCCTGTGGGTGCTGGCAAGTGGAGGCGCCGTCCTGCCTGACTTTCTGGTTTAAGTACTTGGAGGCTGCCTGGAAGCCCCTTTGTCCCAACTACAGCAATAAGGATTGAGGCTCTGGACCTGGTGCCTCAGCCATGGCTGGGAAAGGGTTCCCGAGTCACCACCTCCCTAGGAATTGGGCCAGCAGAGGTACGGACCGGGCAGGCAAATTAAGGCACAGTCACCAGTGATGGCTGGTCAGTTGTTCCTTCTCAGAAGTGACGATTGAGTTCAATACATTAATCTTCAGAAACTATTTGATGGTACAATTCCGTCTGTGCTGAATCGAGACAATTTTTTTCTGCTTTTCTTCACAGTCCTGAAAAGCTCATCTGTGCAGACAAGAAACAGAAAAGAAAAGAGAAAAAGACCACTGACCTAAGTCAGGCTGCATTTGAAAGGCAATTCCTTTCCTCAAAACTCAGCCAGAAGAACAAAGTGGGTGAAAGGAAGGATCTGGTAAGCAGAGGCCTGGGGCGAGGCTGGCATGCAGGGCTTTGCAGCCCCCACAAGCAGCACATACTGGTTCCAGGATGAGCCACCGCCACAGCCCTCCCTGTCAGACAAGCACCCAAGGGCGGAGGAGGCATGGCCCAAGAAGAAGGGCGTGTAGAGGAGGAGGGAGAAATGGCAGGTGGCCTCAGGCTCAGCACTGCAGCTCTGACAGGGCCCCTCAGGCAGGGAAGCCTTGTATGAAGAAACTCAGACAGGTGGTAAATGTGGGACCTGGACCCCACTTCCTGGAGACAGATCCTGTCCTTCCAAGGTGAGGGCCAACCTGGCCACAGGGGCTTTTCCCCTGAGATTTCTTCAGCGCCTTTGCCTGGGCCTTTGCCTTTCTGCCACTTTCCCGCCATTTTCCACTTACTCCATCCAAACTGCACCAAAAATCGTGTTCTCCTTAGTCCACACACAACAGGTGGGAAGTTTTTGAAATGAAATTTATACCAAAAAATTAGGGCAAGATGAGATTTTTTAATATTTAAAAGGTATTTTTATATGTAAGAATTTTCCGAGTACAGATTTCTTATCTGGAGCTCATGGTTCATTTGACACGGTTTTCAGCTCCTGGTCTATTTCCTCTTCCAAGCTCTCTGCCATGCCGTGTACCCTGAGGCCTGAGGCACAGGACCCTCCCAGGGAAGGCCTAGGGGCCTCGGCTCAGGACCCGACAGCATCACTCCCACCCCTCACCACCACACACACAGGATGGGGAACTGCTACTTCTCTCCAGCCTGTGAGCCTGGATAGCTATTTTGTGACCCAGCTCCTGCTCAGTCTCATTGCTGTCCCCGGTCTCTCCAGGGAGTAAGGGATTCTCCATCTGTGGTAAGTTACCTGTGACTCTTCAGCAGTTTCCTCTGAGCATAATTATATCTGAGAGCACAGGGGGCTCCTCATTCCGTATATTTTTCAAATATTCAAGATGTACAACGTGATGATTTGCTATAAGTATTGTGAAATGTTCGCCACAGTCAAGCTTGTTGACATACCCACCAGCTCACATTGACTGTTTTCGTGCGTGTGTGGTGAGAATACTCACGATCTCCTCTCTGAGCCAATTGCAAGTATATGTTATTAGTAACTGTAGTGTCCGTGTTGTCCATTAGGCCTCTAGAACCTACTGTTACTTGTGGAGGGTCTTTACTATGAGTTGTCCAGGTCCTTGGCATTTTGAACAAAGAATTGACCAAAACACAGCGTAGCAGAGGAATGAAACGCGGGGAGCGAAGCAGCGAAAGCAGGGATTTATTCAAGAGAGAAAGCGCTCTGTAGGGTGGGAGCGGGCCCAGCAAGGGCTCAAGGGTGTTAAGTTCCCTGTTTGAGGTTCTTGTCTGCTACCCCGTATCTGGATGAAGGATTTGGCCCCTGGCTAATTAAAGGCTGAGGTGAATTGGTGCCCTATGCAGATGAAGGGGTGGTCCCTGCATTGCCTGCGGCTAATCCAGGGCACTCTCCCTTTCCATCTGAGACGTCGTAGGGAGAGTAGGCTCTGATCCTTTGCTGCTCGGCTTGGGGACAGGGGGTTTTCCTTTTGGTTCCGCCGTCAGAAGTGTGTGTTAATTGGCCTCAGGTTCCCTGCCCCCAGACCCAGGTGTTTTCCTTTTGATCCAGCTTTGGGGAGGCAGCTCCAATTGGCCTTGGGTTTCCTGTGCCCAGACCTTGCTGTTTTCTCAGACCTTGCTGTTGTCCCTGTCTCCAGACCCTGTTCTCCAGACCCTGTTCTCCAGACTCTGTTCTCCTGCCTCAATGCTTACCATGGAAAATTTGTACCAACACCTGTCACCTCACTGCACCCACGCCCTGACTCTGGTAACCACCCTTCTACTGTTTGGTTGGGTTCGACGTCTTTAGATACCACATATTATTACAGGAAGGGGGTCCTGATCCAGACCCCAAGAGAGGTTTCTTGGATCTCAAGCAAGAAAGAATTCAGGACCAATCCACAGTGCAAAGTGAAAGTAAGTTTATTGAGAAAGTAAAGGAAGAAAAGAATGACTACTCCATAGACAAGAGCAGCCCCGAAGGCTGCTGGTTGCCCATTTTTATGGTTATTTCTTGATGGTATGCTAAATAAGGAGTGGATGATTCATGCCTCCCCTTTTAGACCATATAGGGTAACTTTCTGACCTTGCAATGGCGTCTATAAACTGTCACGGCGCTGGTGGGAGTGTAGCAGTGAGGACGACCGGAGGTCACTGTCACTGTTGTCGCCGTCTTGGTTTTGGTGGGTTTTGGCTGGCTCCTTTTTATTAGCCTGTTTTATCAGCAAGGTCTTTATGACCTGTATTTTGTGCTCACCTCCTATCTCATCCTGTGACTTAGAATGCCTCACCGTTTGGGAATGCAACCCAGTAGGCTTCAGCCTTATTTTACCCAGCTCCTATTTAAGATGGAGTTGTCCTGGTTCACCTCTGACAATATGAGATCAGGCAGTATTTGTCTTTCTGTGCCTGGCTTCTTTCACTTAGCATAGCATCCTCCACGTTCACCTATGTTGTTGCAAATGATAGGACTTCCTTCTCTTCTCAGGCGGGTTAATGGTCCGTGGTATGTGTACCATATGCATTTTCTTTACCAGTTCGTGTCAGCGGACACTTAGGTTGTTCCCATTTCTTGGCTATTGTGAATAATGCTGCAATGAACACGGGAGTGTGGATATCCCTTCAAGATAGTGATTTTATTTCCTTTGAATATATGTATATACACCCAGAAGTGGGATTGCTGAATTGTATGGTCATTCTGTTTTTAGTGTTTTTGGAAACCTCCATGCTGTTTTCCGTAATGGCTGTAGTAATCTACATTCCACCAACAGTGTACAAGGGTCCTGTTATATGTAAAGTTTCGGTGCCACAAAAGAAATAGCACTCGAATATAAGATTTTCTTTTTAATTCTCAGCAAGGCAAGGTACTTCTAGTTATTGTTGTTGACCAACTAAAATTGGTAATGGCTATCTAAATTTACTGTCCCCATTGTACTTTTTTTTTTTTTTTTTTTTTTTTTTTTTGAGATGGAGTCTTGCTCTGTCACCCAGGCTGGAGTGCAGTGGCTTGATCTCGGCTCACTGCAAGCTCCGCCTCCCAGGTTCACACCATTCTCCTGCCTCAGCCTCCCAAGTAGCTGGGACTACAGGCGCCCGCCACCACGCCTGGCTAATTTTTAGTAATTTTTAGTAGAGATGGGGTTTCACCGTGTTAGCCAGGATGGTCTCAATTTCCTGACCTTGTGATCTGCCCGCCTTAGCCTCCCAAAGTGCTGGGATTACAGGCGTGAACCACCGTGGCCGGCCCCAAGGCAAGGTACTTCTGGATAGAAGGGTGCGCCCTTACAGATAGAACAATGGTGAGCGCACACTTGGACAAGGGAGGAGAGGGGGTTCTTATCCCTGACGCACATGGCCCCTGCTGCTGTGTCAGTCCCCTGTTGGCTAGGGTTAGACCGCACAGGCTAAACTAATTCTGATTGGCGAATTTAAAGAGAATGACGGGATGAGTGCTTTGGCGGGAGTCAGGGCAGAGCAGGTAGCAGATAATTGGAATGAGTTAGGGTGGAGCAGGTAATCAAAAAAGGTTGCTTTACGAGGAAGTTTAAAAGTAGAAGCCAAAGAGTTGAACATACTGACATACTCTTTGAAAAGAAATTTAGAACTCTTATCTAACAGTCCCACACAAGCGAACACTTGTGATCTTTCGACTTTTTCCTAATCAGCCTAACAGGTGTGAGGGGACATCTCGTTGTGGTTTTGATTTGCATTTCCTTGATGATTAGTGATGTTGGACATTGAGCACCTTTTTATATACCTGTTGACCATTTGTACATTTTTTGGGGGGCGGGAGGGAGGCTTTGGGAAAATCTCTGTTGAGGCTCTGTCCCCATTTTTAAATTGGGTTATTCGCTTTTTTCCTATTGAGGTGAATGAGTTCCTTATATATTTTGGATATTAACCCCTTATTTGATATATGGTTTGGAAATATTTTCTCCCTTTCTGTAGGTTGCCTTTTTGTTTTGTTTCCTTTGCTGTGCAGAAGCTTTTTAGTTTGATATAGTCCCACTTGTTTATATCAGATCTTATGTGACTGTGGTCAGTTCTACCCTTAATGGTTGGGTGGACTACACTAGTAGACCCAAGTGGACTGAGGTTTAAATGCAGTAGCAGTTAAGTTTTGCTTATGTCCCGGCACGTCCCAGTGGGTCAGCAGGCTGTCCCTCCTTCGTGTGGTCTTTTGGGGCCCTATCTCATGGGCCTGTGTCATCTTCAGCACCTGGCTTCCGAGGTTGCCCCAGGAACTCATTCCTGCCAACCTGAAAGGGGAAGAGATCGTGGATGAGTTCTTCCTGGGAGTCAGGTGTATGTGGTCCGGGCTGGAGGCGGCGTGTCACTTCCTCTGATGTTCCCTGGGCTAGGACCCAGTCCCATGTCTGTCCCTAACTGTAGGGTGCAGGGGGCACGGGGAAAAGTATTCCATGGCTGGTCTGCCCACAATGGCAGGAGAGCATTTTGTGGACATCTGGTCATCCCTGCTGTACATGCCACAAAAAGATTAGTTCTTTGTGGAGGTCAAAGATACAGACAGCCTTGTCTGAGAGTTGCGGGAACCAGAGTGAGTGAGAGAGAGAGAGGTAAAGCAAGAGGGCTGGCTGGAAACCTGCCTGAAATGGGGGTCTCAGCTCCAGCAGGAGGGCTGAGTGTGGGGCAGTCAGCGGGGTCCTCCCTGCACCTGTAAGCCCCACATCCCTGCACCACACTTAGCCCTTCTCTTCTGTTGCTAGGTTTTAGGAACCAGACAGCAGAGACCCCGCTCCTGGGCTGCTGGAGACAGCCAACAGCACAGGGGTCCTCAGCCTGTAGGAAGAAGAGTGATGACAGCTGAGGTCCTGGGGCAGCACCTGGCTTCCCTGCAGAAGGCGGCCAGGCAGGGCCACCCTTGGTACTGAAGTTTGGTGGACTTGACTTGGCAGTGTCTGTACAATAGTTAAAATACTCTAAACATACTTTCTTTTTCCAGAAGTGGAAATAAATTGCAAGAAATACCCAAATCACAGTAGTTCTTGTTTATTGAGCTCCTGTTGTGAACCAGGAGCCCTGTGAGGTACTTTGTTCACTGAAAAGTTTTCGCAGTAAGACACTATTATCCTCTCTCAACGCACAATGCTCTGAGGCTTGGTGAGCTGCTCAGAGGTGGCAGTCCCCTAGCTCAGAGGTGGCAGTGTTCTCTCAGGCCAGTCCCTCAGGTGCCACATAGCATGTTTATCCCCCCCTCACGTGCACTTAGACTTGATCATCAAATTGCTCAGAATATGGGTTGTCTTTAAGAGAGTGGAGTGCCCCTCCCCCGCCACAGCACCTGCTCCTGAAGAGCACTGGAGGGAGCTGCTGAGGGGGTCCTCAGCAGAGGGGAGACGTCTGGGCGCATGAGGCACATATGCCAGGTCCTGCTGGGGTAGAGGTATATGGACTCAGGCAGTACAGAGACTCGGGGGGTACAGAGTCTTGGGGTATGGAGAGTCAGGGGGTATGGAAACTTGGGGTACGGAGACTCGGGGGTACAGAGACTCGGGGGGTGTGGAGACTTGGGGTATGGAGACTCAGGCACATCCCATATCCTCCCAAAAGTCAGGCCTACATTTGATTTCTCAAGGGGCAGGTGTGTACTCCTAGGCATAAGGGGACAGCTGGAGTGGCCGGGTGTGCCGACGCCCATGTGGTCTGTGGTTTCATAGAGGTTGTCTGACTCTGGTCCTGAGGCTCCTCTGCCCTAAATCTGACCAAAGAGTCCTCTCATATCTAGCAGTGGAGAAATGGCACTCACCACAGTGAGGATTACAGTCCCTGCAGCCCTGGGAACACAGGATGGTTCTGTAGCTCTCGTTCCAAGGTAAGCCTAGAGCTGGTTTTCAGTCATCAGGGGCAGCCTTGCTGCTGACATCAGCCAGGCTGGCCTTGTGACCAACAAGCCCCAACCCTAGAGACAGCCAGCAGTTCACTCTGTTCCATGAGACTGGGCCAGACTTTCCCATAAGCAAAAGCAGTATGTTCAGTTGTTTCAGTTTCATATATCCAGTGACATCTCTTACCTTTTTTATGTCT